ACATGGCCGAGCAGGCAGAAACATTTAAACCTCTGCAAGCCTTTAGCTCTGCAGGCAGGTTTGGCTGATGAGTCTCCTGGCCAGAACCAGCCTCTGGCACCCCAGTCCCTCCCTTCCCCAATCCTCTGCTCCCCGTTTCTGTCCTGCTTCTCCACGTGCACCCATACCCCCTCCCAAATCTTTCACCCTAATCTCCTGCCTGAGATCACAATCCCCTCATATCCTAGGTCACATCCCCAAACTCTGCACCCCAGTTCGCTGCCCTAGGTCACAACTGCCTCCTTCACCCAAACTCCCTCCCAGACTCCAGACACCCTCCTGTACTCCAAGCTCCCTTCTGCACCCAGCCTTCATCCCTGATCCACAACTCCTCCATTAATACCATGGAAGAGTGCAGCCCTCAGCCACTTTCCAAAATCTTGGACTGGTCCCCCATCAAAAATTATTGTTCACCCCGCCTTAAAGGCTCACAAAAAATGTAGGTGGTATCATGAGCTTTGCCCATGAAAGTTCATCATACCACCTACATTTTTGTTAGTTTCTAAGGTGCTGCAGAACTATTCAGTGTTTTTAAAGTGAAAAGCCTTCCAGCTTGCCAGACCTATAAGAACATAAGAATGGCCGTACTGGGTCAGACCAAAGGTCCATCTAGCCCAGTATCCCATCTGCCGACAGTGGCCAGCACCAGATGCCCCAGAGAGGGCGGACCAAAGACAATGATCAAGCAATTTTTCTCCTGCCATCCCTCTCTAGCCTCTGACATACAGAGACCAGGGACACCGTTTCTAACCATTACAGGAGTGAGGTTCTGGAACGGCCTTCCAAAGGAAGTAGTGGCAAAAGATCTATCTGGCTTCAAGATTAAACAAGTCCACAGGTTGACTACATGCTGCGTGAAGAAGAACTTTCTTTTATTAGTTTTAAACCTGCTACCCATTAATTTCATTTGGTATCCTCTAGTTCTTCTATTATGGGAACTAATAAATAACTAATAAATAACTTTTCTTTATCAGCCCTCTCCACACCCCTCATGATTTTATAGACCTCTATCATATCCCCCCTCAGTCTCCTCTTTTCTAATCTGAAAAGTCCCAGTCGCTTTAACCTTGGACCTGTGAAAGAACCGTTAAATCCTAATGAAGCCATTTAACAGGCAAGCCCCAAACTGGAGGTATGTACTGTCAAATTCTGAATTTACTGACAAAAATAATTGTGCATTATTGAAATATATAGAGAGGATCTCATTTTAAAATTTGCTTTAAATATTTCATTAATTTGTTGCTGAAGAAGATAAAAATCACATCTCTAAAAAGAATCCTTGCATAGATTTTTAGATGCACAATCTGAGTATTTAGCCTTAAATTCTTGTGTTTTCAGGCATAGTTTTTAATTGAATTCTTCCAACCGAAGCCAGAAATAATATGAATAAGAGAATTAAGTTGTTCATTGATCATCCTTGTGTGACATGAGCAAGTCCTTACCGAATGAGTGCCAAGGCTGAAGTGTAACATTTGGACATCAGCCCCTCATCATTTTCTAGCCAATTTTCCAAGCAAGTTGTTGCACATTTTGACTTTAGTGGTTGTCTTTTTAAGATGGTCATGATATGTGAGAATTCTGTCCAACATGATGCCTAGATAGATGGTATGTGAACCATGCTTTATTTGCTGGCCATTGAGAATTATATTGAAATGACTATCCACTTGTGTGTCCAGTTCGTGTGCGGGGAGAGGGGGCACATTTCAGGAAAGACCTGAACAAATTGGAAAAAGTCGAGAAGAGCAACAAAAATGATTAAAGGTCTAGAAAATATGACTTGTGAGGGAAGAATGAAAAAAATGTGTTTGTTTAGTCTGGAAAAGAGAAGACTGAAAGGGGACATGATTCATTGAATGGTTTGAGACCCACGCGCCTTGAAGGGCCCCACGCGTCAGGGAAACTGGGGCCTTGGCGGCATGGGGGCCAGTGGCAGTCGCTGGGGCGGGATGGGCACGGGGGCTTTAGGGAAGGGGCAGAATGGTGGCAGAGACAGGGTGGAGGTTTGGAGGAGAGCAAGGTGGGAAGGGGTGAGCCATGGGCAGGGACTTGAGGGAAGGGGTGGAGCAGGGATAGGGCTGGGGGGAGGGAAGGGTTGTCTCAGGCCCCACACCTGGTCTACGTGGTGCTGGGCCCTGCAAAGAGGTCAGGGGACTAGACTTGATAACCTCTCAAAGGCTATGTCTAAACTACACCCCTTTGTCGGCAGAGGGATGTAAATGAAGCACTTTGAAAGTGCAAATGAAGTACATATCCCGTGCTTCATTTGCATAATCGTGTCATGGTGAGTTTTTGAGGAGTATAGGATCTTTTGAAAAGGTGCCCCGTTATGGAAAAAAAACACGTCTAAACTGTGGTTTCAATTTTGAAATGGCGCTTGTTCAAAACAGTGCCATGACATGATTATGCAAATGAAGTGCGGGATATTTAAATCCCTGCTTCATTTGCACTTTTGAAGTGCTTTATTTACATCCCTCTGCCGACAGCGGGGTGTAGTTTAGACGTAGCCAAAGTTTCTTGCAGACATGTAGGACCTGAACCTATTTTTAAATTTTTCAACATTTTACCCAGTTCCAGACTAGTGAATGGATCTATCTTATTATTAGCTGGATTACTTAGGAAACGCTGCCACTTGTCATGTACCTTATTGTTTGGCAACTCTATTAACAGGAGTTTTGGTAACATTCAACTGCTGACTGGCAATCTGATTTGGAGTAACTGCTGGCCTGCTTTGCATACATGGGCATTTGAGCTGCACCTAGTCAATTCAATTAAGCTCCAGCTCTTCCAAAGTCAAGCATCATTGTTGCTGCCTCCCATCAAGTCCAGCAAGTGGCATCCAATGATGCTGTAAGATGGTCCATGATCTCCAGATTACCAGACTGCTCAAACTGCCTCATCCAGTCTGCACATTCCAACAGGAAATGTACACTGGTAGGAAGCCACATGGAATTGTTGCACTTGTATGTTTGAAAAGGACAACAGAAACAACAGTTTGTATCTTTGTTGGCGATTATATTTAATGGGAGTGTCATGATGCTCCCTCCTAATAAGTAGAGTGGCTGTGATATGCCTTCCAGAAGTTCCATTTAGGCTTTGGTACACTCCTTATAGTTGGCAGACTGAAGACACATTACCATCTGAATCACAAGACAGCATTGGTTATGTGGAAAATCATTTGGCAAACAATGTAATCAAAGACAGATCTGGGCAACAGAATAGTCCCTATTCCAACATGTTGAATAGAAGGTACCATACTACTTACGGTTATGGGCCAGTGTGAGATCATTATTAGTTGCCCACCTTTTTTTGTGTGTCTGCAGGCACATAGTCATCACAGCGAATGGGGTTAAGTTGCCAATATACCCAGCTGGATGCATAAGCCTTGGGAGAACATGTGGTCTCCATATTTTATCTGGTGGCTAATGCATTTTTGACTTGAAACTCACCAACCTCAGTTGTGCCACAAAAAGGTGAAGATTCAATATGGACAACTGATATCAGTATGTGTGTGTATATCGACCATGTTTTGCATGAAGTCTGTGACATAACAGATTGAATCCAGTGATCTTAAATGACATGTTTCATTCTGCATGAGAGTTTCTTGTAAGCAAGTAATGTCAGCTAGGGACTTCCTTTGCCAGAACACCAACAAGTTCCCTCTTGGCAGCAAATAACCCTTCGGTTGGGAGACCTTAAGTGCCAGACCTATGACTAGAAAATCCTTGTCTGAAAGCTTTATAGATTAAAACGCACAACTTCATTCAGAAGTAAATGAGGACTGGTGTATTTCGTAGCATATTAATACACTCTTGCTGATTCACAATGAAGTAGATGATATATTTCACATTCTACCTTAGCTGAAGCTTCTAATGTATGCAAAAGTAATAAAGGAAAGTTGTCCAGATCAGAGAGGACAAAAGAAATGACTGATTGCAGAGAGATTAGCCTTAGTAAAAAAAGGCTGCAGCCTCTAAGTTAACTGCAGATGATATGAATCTCTACTGCCATCTAAGCATATAAATACCACCATGAGGCAGCAACCAGTCTTCAGTGTTCTTAGTTGCCTTACCTTGCCCCCGAGCTTCCCCCCTCTTTATAGGTCAGCCTTCAGTGATTTTGTCCAGGTCTGTGCGCTCATATGACGAGTGTAGAAAACAAACTTTCACTGGTTAAACCAAACAGCTGTTGTGGTACTATAGGAAACAGTTACACTGCAGCTTGCTCTCAGCAATCCTACATGGAAAGAGCCTGGCTCTGCAGACCTTAGTTTACCTGTGTTTCCTGTTCTAAATGGAAGATAATATAACCTCCTTGTTGGTCAGCTTGATGACCATGATGCCTAATTCATCACTTGTTCTTCTTTGCAGATGGTAATTTAACTCCCGTCTCC